CTGACTGCCACAGACTGTGGCTGTAGGGCGCTCCCTTCCCGTCGCCGGATGCTCCCAGAGCAGCGGCAGTTCACAGCTTGCGCCATCCACAAAGAGCCCTCCCTTGTGCCTCGGTGACCAGAATCTTTCATTTTTATATATATATGGATTGAGTTTACATCATTCTTCATTTTGTGCATTTTCTCCCTGCGAACTTCCCCCCACCACCACTTTACCCGTGTGCCGTCACCACAGCCCCGAGCGCGCTTCCTACCCAGTTTTGATCCTGTTCACTTCTTCACCGCCCCCCCCCCCCCCCGTTGATTGTCTGTGGTTTATAGTTGTTTGTTATTTTTCATTTTTGCTTTGTTACAATTGTTTTTTTCCCCCCTGGTCCCTTACACTCCTGGTATGAGTGAAAGCATCCAGTATTTTCCCTTCTCTTTCTGGCTTATGTCATTCAGCATGATCCCTTCCAGCTCCATCCATGTTGCTGCAAAAGGCATGAGTGTATCTTTTTGGTTGCTGAGTAATATTCCATTGTGTCTATGTACCACATCTTTTCAATCCAGTCATCTTCTTTTGGGCATTTGGGCTGCTTCCACATGTTCCCTATTGTAAATAGAGCAGCAATAAGCAGAGGGTGCAGGTGTCCTTTTGAATTGATGTTTTTGTGTCCTCTGGGTAGATACCTGGGAGTGGGATTGCTGGGTCTATGGAAGCTCCATTTTAGCAGTTTGAGAAACCTCAAATGCTTTCCACAGAGACTTGCTGTTTTCATAGTGGTTGGGCCAGTTTGCATTCCCACCAGCAGTGGAAGAAAGTTCCCCTTTCTCCACATCCTCGCCAACATTTGTCGTTGCTGGCTGTTTTCAGATGTGCCATTCTCACTGGGGTGAGGTGGTATCTCATTGAGGTTTTGATTTGCATCTCCCTTATGACGGGTGATGCTGAGCATTTTTTTTTTTTTTCATCTCAATTGTAATCCCCACGGGTTTCCCATCACCAAATCACCCACATTTTTTCATCTACTTGTTGGCCATCTGCATTTCCTCTTTGGAGAAGTGTCTTTTTAGCTCTTCTGCCCATTTTTTGATGGGGTTGTTCATTTTGTTTTTGTGGAGTTTCATCAGCTCTTGTACATCTTTTGAGTGGTCAGGATACTTCAAGTGAGCATGCTCTTTGGCCAAAACTGTACTGCAGTTGCTTCCCTTTCTCCATGTCTCTGGTCACGTAGCAAGGAGAGACTTGCTGTTTGTATATATGGGTAGTGTCCACACCATGCAGTTCAACTGAAAATCTCCTGGAGCTCAACCTGTCTCTGGCATCTTAATATAAGATCATGACCTAAGTCAGAAAACACTTACCCAGATTGCGGGCTGAAATCAACAACCAGTCAAATACCTGATTTTTTGTGGAGAGGAGTCATGGACTAGGTTAGGGAAGATTTGGGAAAATGGTCACTGAAGAACACTAACAACAGTTACTAATATTTACTGATTATATACTCTGCTATAAGTATGTGAAATAATTTTCACTCAAACACTTCGGTAACTTGACAAAGTGTTGACAGGATGGAAATTTCTAGAATGTAGATGCCCTGCCCAGGACATGTCAACTAGAAAGTGACCAAGTCTGGACTCTGGCCTGTCCAGAGGTTGATAAGGCTTGATGTGTCTTCCAGTGAGGAAACATCCGTGACAGGTAAACATGATGCTGAAAAATATCACAGCAGGTCTGCAACTCCCCATCAGGAATTTATTACTCCTTTCCATGTCGGAGAGGAAGACAGAAACAGGCACTGTTATCTACCCTGTATCGACACACCCCCTGCCCTCCAGGATCCTGAACCTGGTGGTTCCCCACTTTGCCTCTTTCCTGAAGAACACAAGCCCCCCCCAGGGCCCTCCTTGAAAATTCACCAGCTTCCCACAAGTTTCAATAACTGGCTGTGGCTTCTTCTTCTTTTTTTAATGCTCTTGGGTAGCCGGGTCCTGGAGAGCTTTAAAAGCCGCCTCATTTTGCCAGCAGACTGAAGAAGGGGAGCTCAAGTCACTGGAGACCAAGGGGCAAAGTCACGGGTTTGGCGGCATCGGGAAAGCAATGGTGTGTGACCAGGTTTTAAGCCGCCTATTCTGGCTCTGGATGACAGCACGCTCTTGCTCCCTGGGCCTTAATTGGCTGATAGAGTGATTGCTTTGGCCAAGGGTCCAATTAATACCCAAGACTTGAGGATTGGTTTTCCAACCCCAGTTGGATGAGTTTCTTGGCAAAGAAAAATTTACCACTGTAAATTCAATTCACTTCCTTAACTCTGCACCCACTCTATTATGGAAGGCTATCACTCCGTCTGGCTAATTCCAGACAAGGCTCTGTGAGCAGATGGGGAATTTGGATTTGCAAACTTGAAAAAAAAAAAAAAAAGAAGCAAAGCCCTAAGTGAGTGTGAGTTTTATGCAGTTACTTTGCCGCTCCATCTTGTGGAAAATGTACTAAGTCCCAACCTAGTGGAAGGCAGGATGACAAAGGTGGAACAGACATCGAGCCTCCAATAGATGCTTTGAGGATGATCCGTAGCCCCACTGTGACTGGCTAGGGGACCACAGAAATGGCATGAGCTAGGGAGCAAAGTCACCCCACTCCCTTGCGTTGAAAGAGATCCAAGAGGTTCCTGGCTGGAGCCGAGTGGTGCCCGGCTTGGACGGAATCCATAAACCTGACGCCCACGTAGTCCTGGGCACTGGATCAAGTTGTGTGGTCAAATGCACAAGACGGGATGATAACACAGCCCTCCCCCTCGCTTGCCAGGAGCCCACTCGGGGTCTGTGTGCGTTCGCGCCTGCCCTTCGTGCCGGCGGCTGCGGCAGCAAGCCTGACACTTCATGCTCCTTGTTACTCTTTGCTGTCGTGGAGAACCACATGCAGTATAATTCTTGGCTTCCAAACAGCAGCCACAGAATAGCCAGTTCCTAGTTAAACAAGCTTCTGAGGAGCCGTCGCTCTCCGCCTGCTCAGCGTCCCCCGCAGACACGCCGTCGTGGAGCCTGAATTTCAAAACACTTTGACTCTGAACGCTCTGCAAGCCGCAAGCCCACTCTGCCCCTCTTTACTAGGCGCTGCCTTGTGATTTTTGCTTCTTCTCTTGTTGACTACTTGGGGGAAGTCTGCTTGTTAGAACATCCTTCCCCTCTGTTTGCTTTGACCTGATTTTGCAAGCTGCAAGTCACCTTAGTCAGCGGCGGGAGAAGTACTAAACCAGATGGGGAGGTGACGGGGATGTCTGGAAGACATCGTCTCTTCTCGGACGAGACACTTGATGCATGAAGTCAGAGCACCTGGCAGGAAGCCACAGGCCTCCCTTGCAGTCCACACGCTCGCTCACGCCCCTGACCTCGGGCCTCTGTCCAGGGGGCCGACGACGACGGGATGGCCACGGTGGGCCACTCAGTAACTCCTGGCCACAGGGAGTCCACGCAGCTCTGGAGTTTGTCGGTGGTCCCATCCAGGTCTGTGTCATTTTGTTTTGAAAAGAAAACCCTCTCAAGGCTCTACTTTTAGTCTGGACTTCTCACACGAGTGTGGACAGAGAGCGGGTGGTTGGAGACTTCTTCGAACCTGGCTTTGCTCAGGACTGACTCTCCTTGGGGAAGTGTTGCCAGCTGCTGTCCACCTCAGGGAGTCCCGGCCCCTGTGCAAGCGCCGTGCTCCGTCTTTGCTTCCCTTCTGTCCTTGGCTCATTAGCTCCTGCAAACTTTGGGTCCTAAGGGAGCGAAGGGAACGAACGTTTCACTCCGCTTCCCAAATGTCGGTCTAGAAAATCAGGCCAAGTGGAAAGGAAAGGCACTTATTCTTGGGTGCATTCATTCAGTCAAGATTATTGATTGAAAGAAATATTTACCGATAGAATGTTCTAGGATGGTGGTGGGCACTGGGAGGGAAGGCTAAGCAAGACTGGCCTTGAGCTGTGAAGCAGAGGTCTGGGGGCTCTGGGGGACGGGCAGGCGAACAAAGGCAACTGTGACGTAGCCTGTGATGTGGGGTGTCAGAGTGAGCTCTGAGGGAGAAGCTCCATGGGAGTTGGGGGGGGCTTTCCAAGTGGGGCAGCACCTCGGTGTGGACCTGAAGGATGAGCGGAAGCTGGTCCATCTTGGGGTTGATGGGTGCTCTGGTGCTGGGCCGGGTACTGAGGAGGTGCTGGCCACCACCCAGTTTGCCACAAGCACCTTTTGTAGTCACTAGACACGCGCACCAGGGATCATAACTAGAACAGCTGTGAGTTCAGCCTGGGCACTATGGGTCATCAATAAAAGACACGTGATGATCATGGAGCTCGAGTAATCCATGAGCCAGGAGAATAATTAGAACAAAAATGAGAGAGGTGCAGCATATAGCTGGATGCCACGTGAACACCATGAAAATGATCGGCAGTACAATAGAACCGCCATCGTTCATATCATCAAGGTGTACACGCTCACGAGCAGCTGGTGGGGTGACCCTAATAGAGAGGAGGGGAATTGGGATCATTGGGTTGGACAGAGGTGACAACATGGGCAGTCTACCGCTGAGAACTCCAGGGAGAAGGGGCAGCTGACCCACAAGGAAAGCGGGTCAAGTCCTGCTCTTTGCCTGCCAGACAGCAGACAGCCCACCACCTTGAAATGTCTCCACTATGTTTTCCACCTTTGTCTGTTCCAGCAAACAAATGGCTCTCAACTTTGATGGTGCCTGGCCTGCGCAACAGGCTATCAGTTAGGTGGTGGCCACGGGCACAGAACAAGAGGACCAGGAGGCTTAGTCGCCATTCGGTCTGTCTCTCTGTCCCTCTCTTGCCTCTGTATCCTGTCCCCTGCTTTGGCACTAAAGGTGTATCAGATGGACCTAAGGCTCCAAGATTCTTTCTGTCTGCCCAAATCAACAGAGAACCTGCAGCGTCTGAGATGGTGGCATACCCTGAGTCCCCAGGCTGCTGGACTCTGGACAGCCTGGGACATGTGGCCTTTGTGGATGCAACTTGGGCTTACCAGGGGTCCTAAGGCCAGAGTTCCTGAGGCCAGTTCTGCACCGGGCTCCAAAATCGCCATCTCTAGCTTGCAAGGGTGTGCATTTCCCTTTCAGCACTCCCAGATCTCCTGCAGTGTCTGGGGAGATGCCCTAGACTAATGTTGAGGAGGGTGTGGACCAGCTCTGTGCCATTTTGCTCTGTGGGACAAGTTAGTGTCCCGCTGAAGGCCAGAATGACTGGGACAGCAGCCCCCACAGACCAGGGTGACTGCGGAAGTTCTAGGAACTGCAGCCTGGGAATCCCGTGCCCCAGATGGGACAGGTGTCCTATAGCAGCACTTCTGTGTGTGGCTAGTAAGGAGGTGGTGGGCCAGCTCACCGCAGGCATCTGAACCTTCTGGCGTAACCGACTCTTGTCACCTTCAACTGTCAGTGCATGCTAGGGTGGCCAGCTACCTCCGTCTGCCTGGCAGGGAGGGATTCTCGGACACTGGACTTTCAGCACAAACTCCAAGAAACCTTGGGCTGAACTGGAACAGTTGAGTTGCCCCAAGAATGCTGACCTTGAAACAAGCACAAGTAATATGTCACACTTAGTCCTTAAAGCAATGCTTTGAGGTAGACATTATTATCTCGATTTCAAAGAATTTGTAAATAAGAGATGAAGTGAATTCCTCAAGGGCACTGATCTAGTAAGTGATTTAAAAGCCTGGATGTAAGTTAACTTGCCTTCTTTAAAGCCAGTGTATGAGTTATCTGTTGCTGCATAATAAATCACCCCCAAACTTGCTGGCTTAAACTAACAAGAGAGGGTTATTCATTCATTGTTTCTGTGAGTCAGGGGTTCAGGAGCATCAGAGCTGGGTGGCTCTGGCTCCAGACCTCGCAACGAGGTGGCAGCCCCAATGTCAGTGGTGCCTGGAGACATGACTGGGCCCGAGGGTCTGCTTCCAAGAAGGGAAACTCGCACAGCTGTTGGCCAGAGGCCTGGGCTCCCTGCAGCGTGGCCTGTCCGTGTGTGGGGCTGGGGGTTGATTTCCCTCAGAGTGCATGGTCCAAACGAGAGCGGGGAAGACCGTCCTTTCCATTACCTAGCCTTGGAATCCTGCCCATTCATTTCTGGAATGTGCCATTAGATGGTCAGCCCTTCTCCACAAGGTAGGGGCTGCCCCAAGGGTGAATGCCAGGAGGCCAGGGCCCCTGGGGGCATCCCGGAAGCTGCCTGCAGTCAGTGTTGTTCCTGCCCCCACAGCTACCTTTAGCACTGCAGGTAAGGAGGGTATTTGAGGGGAGTCAGTCGAACAAGCGGTGGGCAACGTGTAGCTGTGACTACACAGCACGAATATTCATGGTATGCAGAGATGGCATCATTTACATATGCAAATGAGCATCCTTTCCAGATAACCGCCCACCCGGTAGGCTGTGTATTTACCCCTGTTTCATCACACCTGATATTTTTGTTTTGAATATTAATTATGGTTGATTATGTACTCCCGATTTCCCAAGTTTTATAACATGAACACACGTGTTCTTTTATATGCAGAAGGGAGTTGTGATTGCAGCATTTTTGGGTGGGCCGGTTCGCACCCCATAGGACAGATACTGCCTGTGTCTAATAAAGAGTCCATCAGCGTCCTCTTACGGATTTCAGAAGGCAAAATAAATGTCGTGACTGGTGGCTACTGCCGCACTGGAGCCCTTTATGTTCCCACCGCCTGCAGATACACACACTGCACCTGGAATGCAGGTCGGGGCGGGCTGGAGAGGGATGCTCGGGTGTGGGCTCGGGGTGAGGGCGCATGGAGCGTGGCCGGTGGTCCACGGGAAGCCGAGGGGCCAGGGCACAGCACAGCTGTACTCTGAGCCACGGTTGCTTCATTAGTAAAACCGCAGGGGATAGTGACGCGCGGGCTTTCACCGCCATGGAGCTGTTGAAGAAAAGCAGACATGAGAACTGCGTGTCAAGCGCGTGGGAAGCCCGGACCCGCGCAGGGCTGCCACCACCGTCGTTGCATCTGTTGTCTCTGCATGGGGACCAGGACCTCCCGCGGGCGGGCTGGACGGGGGGCGCCGGCAGCCCCGGGAGCGCTCGTGGGCGGGGCGGCGGGGCGCTGCCCACCGCCTGCCGCACTCGCCCACACCTCCGCGGCTGTGCTCCCCGAGCTTTGCTTCCGTGCGGCGTTTCTGTGGGCCCGAGCCTGGTGGGGGCCCGTGTGCCCGAGGTCCCCCACCTGGTGGGCCGGCGCCAGGCCGTGCGAGAGCCCGAGGCCGCCGGGCAGGTCCGGATGGACCGACGGCGGGCAGTGGGGCTCGCGCAGACACCTGCAAGGCTGTCTCCACATCCCGGCCTCGCTGCCAGCGCCCGAAACACGGGGAGAATTGAAACCTTTCTTTTTTCCTCCTTTTCTTCTAAAATGATTCCCAACCTGTCCGAAGAGTCTGGCAGCCACTCGGATGTCAGCAACAGGCAGTTTTATGAGGATGGCAGGAGCAAATTCCCGCTAAGAATTACGGCTCTGGGAGCAAAAAGAGAAGCACAGCTGAGCGCCGCCAGCCGCGCGCGAGAATTCCCGCATTTTGCATCTCTGTGCCAGACTTCTCCGTGATCCAGAGAGGGGGACGCTGGAAAGCCATTAGTGGCCGGTTCTCCAGAGGGTGGGGAGAACGCCCTGAATTGTGTGTTTGCCAGTTTGCGTGGTGTAAATATTCTCACGGTGCCTGATGAGATCAAACCACAGGCACAGTAACGCTAGGAAGAGATTAAGGCCCACACCAGCCAGCAGCCAGCCCCAGGCCATCGCTGGACCCTAACGTGACGGTCGGACGCATCCTCTCCAGGGTTACCGTCAGGTAAAGTGAGTATCTCAAGATCGAGATAGGCAAAGTTGAATTAATCGCCTCGCTCGGCCCCACATTTAGCCTTGATCTCTGACGGCTGCCGCGCCCGCCGGGTGAGGTAGGGCACGGTTCACACCTCTTCAGATGTAAGTCACCACTCCGCTCCGCCAGCAGGGCACCCCTTTCTCTCCACCACCGTCCTATGGGCTCCTCCCACTTCGCTGTCATGTGCAGCCTCCGGGCTAGTAGCCTCAGGCCTGTCGTCAGATCTCAAGGGATTGTTTTGTTTGGTCTTGTCTGTACCTTTGTCCTGTTTGTTCGTTGCCGCACCTGGTGAAGTCACCAAGCATCTCTCTCCTCTGGCTTATCTTGCTTTACCTCATCCTCTCCAGTTCCATCCACGGCGCCGTAAAAAGCAAGCTGTGTAAAAAACCTGTGTCCGGGCTCTCTCTGGCGGCGCAAGGGGTGAAAGCACCGCATTATGCAGCTCTCCGCAGCCACTGCGGCACGAGTTTGATCCCCGGCCAGGGAGCTGACCCACGTGGCCGGCAGACCGCTCCTGACCCGCCCGCTGCTCCCCTCAACAGCGTGCTTCTTCAATCTGCCTGTTCTGCTCCCCACTCTGTCTCTGGTGAATCTTCTCACCCACCACACCTCTGGCCTGTACCCCAGTTTTGTAAGCATAAATAAATACTAAAAAAACCCAAAAATCCTGTGTCCGATGACAGATGAGTAACTAAAAAAGAGGTGATCTGTAGACATACAAAATACCGCTCAGCTTGAGAAAAAGCGATGAAGTCTTCTAAGGTCTTCTGTCTGGGTGCATGACACAGTACCACTTTTGTAGGAAACTTCTGGTTTTTAAGTAAAACTCCAGCCACCAGTTGGACTCTTTTTTACATCCGCCTTCTTCCCTACCATCATATCTAGGCCCTCAACAAATTTTGTTGGTTTTCCCCAGAATCCATCCACTTTCCTCTAGACTGTGCCATTGCTATTAATCTCTTGGATTGCAAAAGACTTCTGAGTGGGTTCACTGTGTCCCTCTTGCACATACCTACACTCTTTCTTTGTTTTTTCTGCTCCAGCCACACTGGTTCCCTTTACCAAGTCAGGCATTGTACACGGCGTTCCCTTTTCCTGGAATTACTTGGTCTGATGATTCCTTATTCCTCAACGTTAGCTAAAGATTTTTAGAAAGTCCTTCGCAAGCCTTCCAGTTGAACGTATCCTTTTATATTTATCTTCTGAAACATCCTACTGCTGGCTTCACTGCCAACAGCGGGGTATAAAAGTTCCAGTTGCCACACATGAAGCCAACACTTGCTATTTCCAAATTTTTAAAAAGTCAGCCTGGTTTAGTGGTGTTTCATGGTACTCTTTGTTGGTATTTCCTGAGTTATTTATGATTTGGGCGTTTACACATGTTTACCGCCCACCTAGATGTTCCGGTTCCAGGTGGATGCTTATTTTTCTGTTGGGTTGTCTTATTCATTACTATTAGAAGCATATTACATACTTTAAACCCTGTGGGTTATATGTGTTTCAAGTATCCTCTTCCAATGTTTGCCTTTCTTACTCTTTTCAAGATTGCTTTGGGTGAAAAGAAAATTTCAGATTTAAAGTTTTCAAATATTTTCTCTGTCCTTTTACTTACTGATAATTTTTTATTATTCTCAGAGTTTCTGCTGTAAGGGTCTGTAGAAATAAAATCTCAGATGTTTGTTCCCTGAAAAGCTTATTCAATTTTCTTAATTCTTGGAGAAATAATTTGAATAGGGATAGAATTTTAGTATGGAAGTTAGTTTCTTCCAGCATACTGACAAAAAGATTCCATTCTGTTTTGACTCTCATTATTTCTTATTAGAAGTCAGCATTCAGTGTATTTTCTTTCCTTTGATGATGCCTTTCTTTTCTCTCTCTTTTTAAAAGATTTATTTATTTATGCATATAGAACTGGGTTACAGGCCCAAGGTGCAGGATGTGAGAGGATTCACCAGAGACAGAGTGGAGAGCAGAACAGGCAGATCTACTGAAATACATTGCTAAAGGGAGCAGCAGGGAGACAGGAGATGTCTGCTATGCCGTGTGGGTCAGCTGCCTGGCCGGGGATTGAACTCGTGCTGCAATGGTGTGATAGCTTCATAGTGCTGTGCATTAACCCTTTGTGCCGCCAGGGAGGGCCTGTCTTTCTTGCATTTAAAATCTCCTCTTTGATATCTTTGACTTTATTATGATGTGT